GTGCAGTGAGTGACCAGTGATATCGTGCTCCATTCTTGTCTTGCGAAAGTTATCATTCTTTGTTCGATCAGAACAAGAGATAGTAACACCGTCAAACGGCATGGACGGAGTTGTGTTGCTTGTCGTGGCTCAGCTCTGCCTTTCTAGCAAGAAACTACCTGACGAGGCCCTTGAGAAAGGTCGTAGTATGTTCTTTTGATTCTTCCACAAATGACTTCTGTTTGAGTAGTACCGGGACCAAAATTGTTTTTCTGGTGAAAGATTTGCACGCCATTGCGTTATCTTCAGTGCTAAACTATTATTTGACATCGGATTTTGTACAGAAATGTTTGCTCTCTCAGCCTATATACTTCAAGATGTATCACAGGCCTTCGTTATCGATTAATTTAGCAAATACAATGACCGGGCCCACATTGCCGGCATCAATCTGATCCCGGTCATTATATTTGCTAAATTAATTGATAACGAAGGCCTGTGATACATCTTAAAGTATATAGGCTGAAAGAGCAAACATTTCTGCACAAAATCCAATGTTTAATAATAGTTTAGCACTGAAGATAGTGGAATGGGACGCAAATCTTTTACAAGGATCAGAAAAATATTTTGGTGCCGGTGCTAGAGCCTATTGAGTCCATGATTTTTGGACCCGGACCCGCTCAAACAAAATTCTCGGATCCGAACCCAATAATTAATTCTTTGTGATTCGTGCCCGAATCACTCATTTGAGATCTATAACGCAAAATTCTAGTTCGGATTTGATAATCGATCCAAAGATAGGATATCCTTTTTTTCATTTTTTATGTTCGACAAGTAACATATTCTACATANTTCATGCCGATAGTCCGATAGCGATTCTATAATAATTAAATCAAATTCGTTCGTATTAGTTTCTGTCGAAGAATACAAATGTATTTAAAAAAGTTTCATTATTTCTTTTGTATAGCAACTATTTTATATTATAGTAGTCGTTCTCTTTGCTTTACTTAATAAAATATGTATACAAACATCTAAAAAAAGATCATGAGTTTATTGCTAAATATTTTTTGAATAAAAAGAACAGAAATAAACGAAAATAAAAATAATGGAATTATTTTTTATAGTGGATTTGTTTCTGGCTAATAAAAATTTATAGACCCGGATCCGGACCCGTTGAATTCAAAATCTTCGGACTCGATGAATTCAGAATTTTGAGACTCGGACCCGAGTCCAGTCCGGATCGGACCCGATGGGCTCTAGCCAGTGCCCATCTCTAGCCTCTAGTAACTGATAATGAGTTGTAAAATACACAGTAAGTAAATTTTTAAAGAAACTTCAGCATCTTCTGTCATCTTAATCAATAATCTATCTATTTCGATCTGTTCTAGACAAATACTAACTGTGAATGACAGCATAAGGAAAAATGAGTTGTAGCAAGTTTGAAGATCTGGCTAATGAAATAATAATGGACATTTTTGAGTATTTAGATGGTTATAACATGTTTAACTCTTTCTTTAATTTAAATTATCGTTTTAACTCAATCATTAACGATAACCATTTCTATATCTCAATGGATATGTCGTTAAGGTTAAATGAAACAATATTCAATTTAATATGCATCAATATTGTACCTCAAATCTATGATCGAATCACATCGATAGTAATTGCTAATAATTCTCGTGTTCGTGCACTCAATTCAATATCTGAGAATTTTAATCAGTTTGTTTCATTACGGGCGCTAACACTACTTGATATCGATAGTAAAAGTGATTTGGAGCATATTTTATTAAAATATCAGAAACAGTTATCAGTATTGTTCATTCATACGAATAAAATTGAGGATGAAACAGTTATTAGTGATATATGTGCAATGGTTTTGTGTGAAAAGTCGACGAATTTAAGAAACTGTTCATTAAATTTTCGTAATAATTGTGTATTTAAAAATGTAACAATGTCGAATATTGAGTGTTTAACAATCGGATGGTGCTCAATGTCTGAATTGTTCTCTTTACTTATTCACACGAGAAAATTACGAAAATTAAATATTCGATATTTGTGTAATTATGATTATCGTACATTAAATGAAACTCATTTGATGATAAATAATCTAAATGTTTTCTTATACTTCGTACCATTTAATAACATTGAACTACTATTAAACTATATACCAAAATTAAAGAAACTAACAATCAAAGGTCAATTAGACGATTTCAGTTATACCGATAGTCAATTATGGCAAACTCTTTTAACATCTTCGATTCCATTATTAACATTATTTTCCTTGGACATCACTATTTTGACTAGAATATCTAATATACAGGATGTTGTCGACAAATTTCAAACTGATTTCTGGACACAACGGTGGAATTTAACTATCAGCTGTCGATACCATAAAAACTTGATACTAGTTGTTAATGGAAAACAGAAAATAGCTGCACAACAATCATTATCGAATGAGAGTCAAGAAAATTCATCTGATTGTTGATAGTCAGTTTTAACACTTTTGCAATAATTACCCTTCAAAACTCTGAATGAATTAAGAGCTAATTTCAATTAAAAAAGTCATGATTTCTAACTATCAGTGACTTTGGTACGTCTTCGTATCTCTTTTCATAATCAGGTATAAATCGTTATTCTTTACTCCAGTTATTCAATCCAAAGTAATGTAGGAATCGCACGGAACGCGATAGTTTACATTTGTTCATAAAAGGTTAAAAGCCTGTGGTAAATTTTAAATCGGTAAGAAATATAAAATTTAGCGTCCATTTAACTGCAGAGAATATCAGCATGTACTCTATTTTACCAGTTCGATACTATACAATTCAATAAAAGAGTGAAGAATCAACAGAAAATGTTTTTTTACGGTTCTCAAGTAAACAATCGTTTGGAGCAGGTAAAATAGAGTAAGGTGCGCGTAATTCGAAATTTGCACATGTTTTGTTTTCCTTTAAATGACACATATTCTGAGACGTCTTGGTCTGCTGATCACGAATCTGGCCTTTTCTTTTCAGTTTTGAAAGTCGCTTCATGCAGAAAATTGGACAACAATGAGAGCTTCTCAAAAATGAAAAATACATGCCGCCTCAAAAACTAAGCTCTATCTCCGTCAAATTAAATTCAAAAATTTTTCTAAAATTATATTCAAACTCCTCGTGCAAAACTGACCATAGACAACTGTTTTTAGGACTGTTTTCAAGCTTTAACTCGATTAGAAAAATTTTCAAAGCAGAATACCTCGACTTTGGGCATCTTGCATTAAATCAAATTTTGTAGATTCCACATAATAACTAGCGCCTTCATTCTCACGCCATTCGAAAGGCCAAGTAAAGCGCAAAAAACTAATGATTTGATTTTTGCCCATGGCTCTTGCAGTCTCGGTTTTCTGCAAAACAAGTGTTTGAGAAATTCTAAAAAATAATCAAAACCTTTCATAATGAGGCATAATTATAGCCCGCATATTTCTGATTAAAATGAGACGTCTCCCAGCTCTACATGACCTTTCTTTACAAAGTTACAGAATTTACAAGAAAAATCCTAAATGTTCATTGTCAGCTCAAAGCGGTAGAAATAAGCAGAAATTAATTTAGGACATTTCTTGTAAATTCTGTAACTTTGTATATACACCGAGATTTCCATTTTCTCCGGTAAAGTTGACTTTTCTCAGCAAGCAAAAGGAATTTTTAAAAAAATGTCACATTAATTTAACGGAAAACCTTATTTTTTCATCCCATGAAAGTTCCTTTCTTGCCACAAGAACACTAAAAAAACACAACTTTTGTGGACAAGAAAACTCATCTTGAATGAATTTTCTTATGACAGTTAGGACTCTGATTCCACCGTATTTTACCCGGTTTTCTCTTCGGGAACACGATGCAATACATCTCAAAATTACCTAGAACTTGAGCTCAAAATAAGTGCACGATTCTATTCATATCTGTCAACTCGTTCTCTATGCACTCATTCTGAATAACTTATCATTCAACTTCTTCAAGTTAGAATAAGAATATAGTCGGTTCACTACTGATATAAGGATATCGACTGTTGTGGTGATTAGTCTTTTTCTTCTTAGTGAACGCACGCGAGATTTGCACATGTGAATTTTTCTTTCGTTTTCTTATTCTTATTGTTTCTTCAATATAACCTATATTGAAGAAACAATAACTATTGATATAAATTCTTCAACTATTGAATAGTTGAAGAAGAGCAATGTGACCTTTAAAAGATGTGAAGACATCTAGAGTCAGTGTTCCTGTTGACGGCAGGAAAATTTTTCTTTTTCGTAAATCTCGATTTTCTCAGCCATTTTTCAAGTGATAAGAGGGAATTTTAGATTCCGGGATAGAGGAGACAATTCTCTATCCAACTATGTAAAAAATTTTTAAAACTAATTTAGTTTGACTTAATTACAATGATAAAAAGAATCTCGATTCTTTTGCGTTGTTGTGCGTTCTCAAATATAGCAGTTAAGCTATTTTTTGTTCCTATTGATGGCAGCTCCATTCAAATACATGGCGTTTTTACCTATCGTCAGAAAAAAAGTTGTAATTGTTACCCGAAGTAAAAAAATCATCATATGATCCTGTAACAAAAAATGTTCCATCCACATGCTCATATAAAGCGAGTCTAAACAGATGAACTTTACTATCAAAACAGCCTTCTCTAACTTTCTCCTTGTTTTTTCACGACAAAGTTAACTATAACCATTGTCGTTTTAGCAATTAGTGTAGATCGCTTATAACTTTTGAAGCGAAAGTGATAGAGACATGCGGTTTTCAGTTTTTGAAACTAGACAGTTGGGGCAATAGTTCTGTGAAAAAATCCGACCTATCGAAAAGGTCTATCATGGTCTATCTTTCGAAGCACTGTGATCATAGCAAAACAAAATCCTTCTACCACCTTCATTTCGCAACCAAAGTGCAAGGAACTTGAAGTGTGAGCATAAGAGAAGGTATTCTATCCAATCTCACGACCAGAACTACAAGAAAAAAAGCGGACTTCTACAGGTTTTCAGAAAAACTAAATTAATCAAGCTTATTTAAGTCAAACTAAATTAGTTTTGAAAACTGTTGACATAGTTGGATAGAGAATTGTTTCCTCTATCCCGGAATCTAAAATTCCCTCTTATCACTTAAAAAATGACTGAGAAAATCAAGATTTACGAAAAAGAAAAATTTTCCTGCTATCAATAGGAACACTCACTCTATTATATTATTTACCTTTTTTCTCTATCCACGTATTCTCTTTCTGTGAAATGCCAGTGGAAATGTCTGTGTTACAGCATACACATTCATAACGATACTTTTATATGAAATGTCTTATTTAACACCATATATATAAAAAAAATTTTGAAATGGTGCCGGCAATTCGAATTTCAAGTAAAAAAATTTTTCTGATTAATTCATACATGTGGATAGAGCGCGATGAGCTGAGTAAGAAAAAGTGCTTTT